TCCCATTGACACCTCATGATCACACAGGCTGGTGTGCTTCTTCCATGTGGGTTTTGTTGCTTCTCAGCTAGATGGCCGCTTGTTTATCTTCAAGCCTTTAAGACCCCAAAGTGTCCTACTTTCTATCCATTGCAATTTCCAACACCGACTTCATTGTAGACATGCCAGAGTTTGCCATATGGAAATGTTCTGAAAAATTAATCATAAAATTGAGCATCTGTGAGTGAACATCTGAGAATGCTACCCTCAGCAAGTCACGTGCTGCAACACTGTATGTAATACATACCATTGCTGATAAGATATATCCCCTCCCAAACAAAACAAACACCAGATGGTTGTAAGTACAGTTTGGCATCATGTGAATGTGTTGTGTGGTAGGGAATATTTATAAATGTCTTTTATTAACTCTTTGCATAAGTAGCCAACAATATATTTAAAGACATTTTCCCAAGAATTACAAATGCTCATTCTTTAGTTGGTGAAATGGATTTCCATTGTCATTTGTCCTTCTGAAAGGCGTGAAGAAGTTCACGGAGAAGCACAACGAGTCCTAAGGTGCCTTCCTGGTCGGAACAAAAAAGAAAGTGCTTCTAAGCAGATGCCTTCTTTCCCAGAAATGGTGTATTATATCCAAGAAAAGGTAGGCATTTCACTTCAGAGACTTACTTTCGAATTATACAATGGAAGATGCAAATAAATGTTTTAGGTGACATATTAAAACCTAATCATTAACTGAACATTAGTAGTGTTTTAACAATGTTAATAGTTACAATAACAGGGAGGTAAAAAGTGAGAGAAATACAATCTTAATTGTAATTCATCGTTTGCCCGAGTCTCAGTCACTTAGAGTTCCTTCCATGCTCTTCGTATTCTGCCCGTGTTTAAACTCTTTCTCTCGGCATGCTATGCTCCAGTCTGTATCCTTTTAATTTTAAGGGCTCTATTTAGGGAAGCATAACTTTAAAGATATCTCAGGAGCAGTGTCCGTGTCTTCCATTGGGATGATCAGAGAATATTACGGCTGTTTTTGCAGAGCTCCTGCTTTTTGCCCTGGGTGTCTCTGCTGAGACATCAGAATATTCGCAGTGATGACCCCCAATCTGGACCCTGTACCTCTGTTTACGTCATTGTTTGTTTGAGTATGCCAGCGGATTCCTTCCTGCCTCTGCTTCTACTTGGGGACCTAGCCTTTGCTAGGTGGAAACCTTACGGGAGTTGGAGGCCAGTATGCAGTAGCTGTGATGCTCTTGTCCACAGCCAGAAGATGACATTTTCCTCCTACCCCCACGATTACTGATAATTAGTATCATGCAATAGCCCGAGTGCATGTGTCAGCGATGCCTACAGTGAGTTTATGATGAGGAACATATACATTTGACAAGAATAGTGGGGAAATGTTTTGAATAGAAAAACAGGAGTTACCTTTGGGAAGGAATACATCTAGTAGATACTTTTGAGCTGAAATATCCCCATTTTTGAGTAATTTTATCCTTTTGGACTTATTTTTATTAGGCTTCTCATCGAATGAAAACTCCAGCCAAGTACATGAGTGGGACCACTGTCCTTCCATTTAACCCAGCAGCCTTTGGAGAGGTACGATGTTCATGTAATTCTTTGTTGCTCCCTAAAGCTTTGGAACAATAAAGCTGCATCCAAAGAGATCGGGTGAATTTTTTGTGATCTAGCTAAACTCATAGTGAAATGTCATTATTCTCCCCCAGGCTATGTGTAGAAAACAAACAAAACAGTTACAGTATGAGGGAATTTCAAAAAGTTCACAGAAAAGTGGAGTTAAAAGACCATGAAACTTTTTTATTATGTGAATTTTTTTCAAGCCCCCTTGTATAGTCCTCGCTCACTTTTAGTGGGGACCTGGTTCCAGGTCTGTTGGATACCAAATTCCACAGATGCTCAAGTGCATTATATGAAATGGCATCGTTTATGTATACAACCTGTGCACACTCTCCCGGACGTTTCATTTCTAAAACATCTGTTTGACTTCTTATGGTGAACTCAGTGGATTTTACAAAGTAGATCAATCTGTTTCATATTCAGCACTTTATCTCTGTACTAAATGACTTATAATATCGACTACAATTTAAATACTGGGTGAACAGCACTGTACACATCCTCTTTGCTTTGACCACTGAATTGTTGCTCCTGAGCCCTGAATATTTCCAATCTGGAGTTGATTGAAACTGCAGAAGTGGAACCCGAGGATAGAGAAGGCTATTTCTAGTAATTGGTATTTAGTTAATTATTACCAAGTGGAATTAATTAGATGTATAGATGTATAACTATGAATGTATCTCAGCCAGACTAAGATTCTGTTGGAAACACACACACACACACACACACACACACACACACACACACACACACGTATATAAATAGATATTTTACATTGATTACTTTTTTGGGATTTTATAGCACATTATAGATTACTTATTAAAGTCAACATATTTTGGAAGTTTTTGGCTTCTCTAGGTTTGAAGATCTTGGATGGTATAAATAGCTAAGTGCATACTAATAATTTAGGTTGGCAGTTCAAATCCACCCAAAGGCAACTGAAAAGTAAGGCTGGGGTTCAGCTTTTTAAAACTGGAGTGTAGTTCTATTCTCCACACTTGGGATTAAGAGTTGGAATCTATTTGACTTTTGGTAGCAACAAGAAGAACTGAATTTTAAAGGTTGGCGATGAATAATTTTTCATACCTATTATGGGAAGCTCTATTTTCTAGATTTATTATTGACTATACTTGTTAAATCGCAGGAGGCAATCTTATTAAGTATGAGTATAAATACAAGGAAAGGCAGACTGTCGTAGATCAGATCTCAAAGAAATTGCTCCCAGAGGGCTCTTTACTAGCTAATTTATCTCAAAAGTTTTTATGGTACTTTAGTTAAGTCTTCTGTAGATGAGTTAACTACATAGATTTGTAGTTTTGAACTGTAGATGTGAATCCATTTTCTCAATATATTGTATCAGTGGAGATTAAAAACAGCTAGAACTTTCTTCTCCCAGAATAGGTCATTTGTCTGAGATTTCTCTTCAGTCACTTTCTATATGTAGCTTTTAAAATATAATCACATTTTTATTGTAATTTTAAGGCATTAGAAGTTGAGTTCACATTTTACCTCTATTAACAAACATTCGATGTTTATAAAAGTGTGTTATCTGATGAAACATACAACTTTCCTCTAGCTCTCTATAGTTTCCTCCCCCTCACTATTGTGACCCCACTTCTACCTTGCAAATCCAGCTAGACCAGAGCATGTACACGGGTACAGATCAGAGCTGGGAACACAGGGAATCCAGGACAGATAAACCCCTCAGGACCAATATTGAGAGTAGCCACACCAGGAGGGTGAAGAGAAGGTAGGGGAGAAAGGGAGACCCGATCAAAATGATGAACCTATAACCAACCCCCTCCCAGGGGGACGGACAACAGAAACGTGGATGAAGGGAGACATCAGTCAGTGCAGGACATGAAAAGATAATAATGATTTATACATTATCAAGAGTTCAGGAGGGAGGAGGGTGACGAAGGGAGGCCAAAAAAATGAGCTGATACCAAGGGCTCAAGTAGAAAGAAAATGTTTTGAAAGTGGTGATGGCAACAAATGTGCTTGACACAATGGATGCATGTATGGATTGTGAGAAGAGTTGTAAGAGTCCCCAATAAAATGATTTTAAAAAACCCCAAACAACAAACCCTGGTCCTTCATCATCAATAATTTTGGGAAGCGCTGCTCTAAGCCACTTTTGCCTTTGGGTGCATTAAGGCAGGAAAACACATTGCCTTTTAGAACTCCCTTCTAAATCTGTTGGTTAAAGGAGCCAGCCAGGTGATACCCATAAATAAATGGGACAAAGAATGCTAAGGAATTGGGAGATGCAATGTCCAGAAAGAGCTTTGTTGCCCACAAATTTGGTCATTTTTGGATCAGTAAGTTATGGCAAGTCTTTGTTTCACACATTCATCATAGAGAAAGCTAAAGGAAGACTTTCATGCAGAGCTTGAGATATGAAAGCAAAAAATCAAGATGGTTTTTCCATTCCCTTCTATGCTGAGTCTACAAGTTGACCCCCCAAATCTCTTTGTCCCTTTTTTATATCGATAGATTTAACACTGAGCACAGAAACAGTCAGGAATAAATCTGTTTCCTGCAAAAAAAAAAAAAATTGTTATATAAAGTGCCCTTCAATTTGGTAATGCCCTTGAGTTATGTTTTCTAGATCCCTTGACCATGGTTGCCTAGGTTTGTGAAGCAGGGGCTGGAGAATCAGAACTAGAAATTATCACTTTGGATATCCTCCCACGTTGCCTCTTGGAGCAGCTTAACTGGTATTCCTCTTCCTTCTGCTTGTAGATAGTCCTGTACCTGCGCATGTGCCTGGCTCACAGTGCGGGAGTGGTGCCCACCTCTCAAAGTTTGGCTGATATGCAGGATCACGCCCCAGCCATTGGGCGCTATATACGGACTTTAATGTCGGGGAGCCAGGGAACATCCTCGTCGTTGTCCTCCAAGAGTGGGGAGACCAACCCTGTCCAGATCTACATAGGCCTACTTCAGCAGCTGTTAGCTGGTGTTGGAGGTAGGACCTCTTGAGGGCAAGGAAAGGTAGTCTGTGAATTTCTACCAACATTATTCTGTCACTTCACTGATGAAACGGAACATTTGCCATGGTTTCTGTTACTGTTACCCAATTCATCCTGGATACACGAGTTCTCTCTTTAGAAAGAAATGCCAGTCATCGATATATATATTTTTAACCAGGAAATTGGTGTGGACAATATGACATCTCGTCCTTTTATAGATAACTCCTCTAAATTTCTGCCATTGAATCACAAACTGTTATGAGTTTTGTAATTTGTTTCATTGAACTGTGGGAGAGCCTCTTAAAGCATTAGCTCTATACTTTAAAGTAATTTATTAATCTTTTTATGTTTGTTACTTAAAATTTGACAGGGTTCTGAATTCTTACTTAGGTTTGCCTGTCATGTACTGTCTATTGGAAGCTGTTTCAGTGAACCCAGAAAAGCTGGCGACCAAATTTGTAGACAAGACAGAATGGATAAAGGTATGTCCTGTGTGTCTGGTTCACTTTGATTATGTGTATTTGAAACATATCTCATAATTTCTTCTTCCTACCAGTTTTCCTGTGGCCTTTTCTGCCTGTAGGGTATCTTGAAAGGTCCCTCATCATATAGCACTTTCTAGAAAAATATATTCCATTGGTCCCGCTGGGTAGAATGGGAAATGAATATGAGTAAAAAAATAATATTTTTCACCTTTCAACTTTTTTTAAGAAAATCAATAAAACATTAAAGAAACAAGCAATAGATTTGTGTAATTAAAAATATATAAAATGGCCCCCTTCCATAACTGTCTCCCATCCACCCCCGTTCTGCCTCTTTATTTCTACCTAACAGTAAGACATAGGCCATCACTTACTTATATACAGCATACCTGCTAAAGTATATAACAACAGAAAGCCAAACAAAAAAACTTCACTGCCCTTGAGTCTATGTATAATCTCGTATGCCTCTAGAGCTGCCAGTGCCCCTTCTACAGGTTGTTAGTATAGAGACCCTGGTGCTCGAATGACTCCAAGCTTGAGCTTGCCACTGCTCGGACAGCAAACTCTGAAGAATCGCAGTGCTCATCACTTTGCTTGATAGTCAGACAAAAAATCCAGCTTGCAAAAACCTGTACGGGCCCAGGAGAGTCCCGTGTTACCTCTCACCGTGGACACAAAGAGGGTGACGCTTCAGTCTGCATGCTGCTCTCAGTCAGACTACACTAGCATGCTTGTGTTAGTGTGTTAAAACATTCATTATTGTGCTTTTTTTGTGAAAAGTAGTATACTTTTATTTACTGTATTGTTTTGATATTTAATGTTCTGTAATTACTGTGTTTTGATGTTTTAGGTGGTATTTCTATAACCTAGGGCTGTTAACTTTGTTAAAGTTTTGGAAAAATAAATTTATAAGTGTAATTTGGGGGGCTCAGAATCAATTATTTGGTTTTCTATTATTGGAAAAATAAGAAAAAAATAGTTCTTGAACTATTTGGTGTTTGAACACAACTTTGGAATGAATTGAGTTTGATAGCCAAGGTATCACTGTACACACAAATAAAAAATACACATTTATACTTTTCTCCCTTCTTTTATACAAAATGTCAACATATTACCCATATTGTTTTGTTATCTTACTTCGTTCACTTGACAGTAGGGTTGGTAGCTTTTTGTGTATGACTGCAGAGACAGTAGAGGAATCCTAGTGGTGGAGTTGATTACAACTTGGGCTGTTAACCCTCAAGGTCAGCAGTTCAAAACCGCCAGCCACTCTGCAGGAGGAAGATGAGGCTTTCCACTCCTCTTAAAATTTAAAATGGAGGAAACTCACAGGGGCAGTGGTCACAGACCCTGTCCAGTCGGGTTGCTATGAGTCAGAATGGACTCGATGGCAGTGCGTTTGTTTTTGGGTTCTCGATGACAGTTACCTCATTATTGGGACAGCATCACCATTTTCCTATCATGGATTTGCCTCATATGTTCTAGATCCGTATTGCTGATCATTTAGGTTACTTCTAATCTGCTATGATGAATAGCCCGTTATTTTATATATAAAAAGGACAAGTTTTACCCGGATTCCTTAGAAGTGGAATTGCTGTGTCAGAGGGCACCTGCTTTTGTAATGTTGATAGTATTATATTCTTCAGATGGGCTGTGTCAGTTTTTAAGCTTGCCGGTCACATGGTTTTATCCTCTGGTCACGCCAATGCGGTTGATTGATTTAGCAAGTTAACTATATCAGATGCTCAGGTGAATTTGAATTTTAAATAAATAAGAATAATTTTTAGTACAAATAATGCCCATGAAATGTTTTAAATTTTTTTATTGCCATATAATTCATGTATCATATAATTCAGTAGTTCAGTCATATTATGAAGACTTTTACAATCATCACTACAGTCAATTTAAGAATATTTTCTTGTTATTGTTGTTAGGTGCACCCCCACAACTGCCCCTTACCTCCCCTGCCATCACTAGGTAATTATTAACCCACTAACTGATTTACCTTTCCTGGGTTTTGGATACAGAAAAAAACATACAAAACCCAGAAATAAACAAACAAAAAACTTAATAACAACGGCAAACCAAAACAGAGAAAAACTTCCAATAATAAACCCCAACCAAAACAATATTAAAAACCAGAACAACAACAACAACAAAAAAACCAGAACAAATTTTAAGTGGTTCTAAAGGAAGATCAAATGATAAGGCGTTACATTGTAATCTAACCGCCTCTGCCAGAATAGACTCTACAGTGCTCTCGGCTTGGTGCCAGATCGATTCACATCTCTGGACTACCGTCAGAAGCTAAAGGGAAACTACAGATGGATTTTGGGCGTCCACTGTGATCCATAAAGCAAACCCAACCTCACTTCCATTGAGTCGATGCCCACTCGTAGTGACCCTTCAGGACAGGGTAGAATTGCCCCTCTGAGCTTCAGAGACTGTATGGGAGTAGAAAGTCCCCTCTAGCTCCCATAGACCGTCTGGTGGTTTAGAACTACGGGTGCCCAATGCATAACCACTGCACCACCAGGGCTCCCTACTGTCATTTATTACCTGCAAGCTGGGTGTTTAGGATTAAGCTCTGATACCATTCCCTCTTCCACATTTGGATTTTATTATTTATCATCCTTAGATCACACAGGCTGGTGTACTTCAGTGTGGACATAGTGGATAACACCCTTATATAGCTGCTTGTTTTGAGACAAGATTTTAAGACCTTCAGGTGCTATTCTTTCTAATAGCATGGCACCGTAGAATTTTTCTCACCACACTTGGCTATCTTCGTTACCCATATTTGCAGTGGTCTCTCCATGAGGGCGAGTACTGAGTAGGCCTATAAAGTTTTGTATGTCTTTTGTGCCATATAATGTAGGTTTTTAAAAAAATGCAGCTTGGGTTTTGATAAAGTATGTAGATTTTCTTGTTTAAATATGAAATCATGAGTGTCATTTTTCATGAGAAGTTAGTTTTGTGCTTCTTTGTAAACTTTGGGCTTATGAAATTGCTTCTAGTTGAAAAATCGCTGAATCTTTGCTGATTTAAAAATGACCTGATTGTTTTTGAGCTTTTCATTTTTTTTAGATATAGAGTCCCACATTTATTTGACCTACTATTCCCTCTTCAGAAAAAAAGTACTCAGCACCCTCCTGGCTGAGTGCTTAAAATTTCTGTATGATAGTGCACAATCTAGGATAAAATGTCGATGTCTGCTTTTGTAGCCTGCCTGGATCCTTTGGGATTGTTCAGCAACTCCCAGGAGGCAGTATCCCCTACTTTGGGAAACACTGAGTTAGCCCTTGAGCCAAAAGTGAATTTAAAAATTTTAAATAATTGAGAACAAAAATACTAAGCCTTCATGTCATGTCAAAATTATGGTGCCCATATGTGAAGCGCTCATGGACCACAGCCACATTGTCGTACACATGCTGCATGTGGTTGGCTTTTACCTCACAGTGGTAGAGCTGAATAGTTGCTACAGAGATCATGGCCCACAAAGCTCTTTACAGGTTTGAGATCACCCATGTATTAATTGCACTTATTTGTGGCTTGGGTGTAAAGACGCAGAAGAGTTTGGTATATAAATGAATGTTTGTTTTGAACTAATAGTTCATTGTGGTCTTTCCCCATGGTTGTCAGCAGAGTGAACGTTATCACATGGCACTTCCCGGCTTCTTCAGATTTTAAATGTTAGATGTTATCAGAAGGGATAACGTCATATAGCCTGCCCAGTGTTCTGTAACATGTATGTAATTCTTTTTCTACACTTCGCAGAGTCTGATGAACAGCAGTAAAGAAGAGATGCGTGAACTGGCAGCACTGTTTTATTCAGTGGTGGTATCTACAGTGTCTGGGAATGAGTTAAAGTCCATGTTAGAGCAGCTTATAAAGACTACAAAAGATAATCACGTATGTTACCCGTTTTTTTCCTCTTGTCCTTTTATGGGAGAATAAGGATTTATAAAAGCGTCTAACCTTTTTTTTTTTCCTTCCGCTTTTGTGGTTGCATTTATAGAGTATGCTTACCAGACCCCTTGATTTTACATGAGGGGACTTCTCAAAGTTTGTGCAGAAATTTCATGTTCCTTTTGTTCTATATCCCACAAACTCTGATGCCTCCTGATGATTTTGTCCAGATTAAATGAGATAATATATTGATTCAGTCATTCCATTCACCAAATTCCAGTGCCTTGTGTCTGTAGGCACTGCCATGTAATGTCACATATCCAGTGGTGAGTAAGTACCAACAATCTCTAGTGCACTATTTGGTGCTCAGATATGTTAGTGCTGCTTCACTTCCACAAGCTCTATGGCCTGCCATTGTGGAACCATGTACTTTCCCAATATATTGTATTGCTTGCATTGTGTTTGGAGGAATTAGCAATTAGTAATAGAAACAGCCCATTGTAGTTGTTGGCATTGAGAAATGATATTGGAAATTTTTAAAAAGTAATATAAAAAGTTAGGAAATCATGTAAAGCTAGAAGAAAACATGGATTGTGTAGGGACAGAGGAAGTATATGAGAGACACACTTCAATCAGATTACGAGTGGGTGTGGGTTAGAGATCTAAGTCTTTAGGTGAATCAAAAATCAGCTTTACCTGTAGAATCCTCTGTCTCAGGAACTCAAGGTTTCCATTGTCTGCAAGCCTGATTCATTAGTATCCAGTGGTCACTTTGTTCTTTAGCCTTGTGATTACTCAAGAGATGACTGTAATAAACATGTTCTAATCGAGTTCTTGGCATGAGAAAGAGACAAGACATATGCTATTGTGTTGTTCAACGCAGAGCCCAGAGATACAGCATGGATCCTTGCTTGCCCTGGGGTTCACAGTGGGAAGATATTTGGCTAGAAAGAAACTGAGTATGGCTGAGCAAGCAGACCTGGATGCCAGTGCTGGTTTTCTGCCTGAACAGGAGGAGCTCATTCGGAGTGCCACAGAAACAATAGGTAACTCATGATTTGTGCGGACTTACAGCTCAGTGTTTGGGTTATGTTAAAGTTTAATGTAGCATATTTAAAGGCATAAGAGTTGCCTCAAAAACTTACTTAATGCTATGTAAATTCCACATTTTTAAAAACAAAAGCACTCTACTTTTTCTTCCTATACTTTCCCCCAGATGTGTTTCTGTCTAATAGAGATTCTGTTAGGGACAGAAACTAAATAGCAAAAGGGAAACTACTCTATGCCCTGTAGCCCAGATGTTTCATTGCTGAATAAATGTTGACAAATTATCCTCTAGAAGATATTTTCGACTTGAGTTTTATTTTTTGTCTTTAAAGAAAATCTGGAATACATCCTTGGTACATTGAGTCTTGAGGGTATGCGATTCTCCATTCTGTCTGAATGTGTTCACAGGCTCGTTCTTAGACAGTACATCACCCATCCTGGCAATTGCTGCCTGCACAGCCCTGGGTGAAATTGGCAGAAATGGTCCGCTCCCAATCCCCAGTGAGGGAACTGGCTTTACCAAATTGCATCTTGTTGAAAGCTTACTAAATAGAATACCGTCCAGCAAAGAAACAAACAAGGCAAGTCTTTCTTTTTTCCTTCCCTCTGGAACTCTATTCATAGATATCTAAATGAGCAAAACCAAATCACAGTGGGGCTAGATGGATTGTATAGTTTTGGGAAAGAGGTGAGTTGTGCATACTTTAGTAAGTCGACTGTTTGGCAAGCAATTCCAATTTGGGCCCTCTAATATTTTCTTAAGATTGGGATAAGCTATTAACAGTATTACGGTATTTTTTTTGTCATACACCATATTAAGTAGATAATAAAATATTGAGTAGCCTTATTTCATACCAAATCTAAGTCGCCTCCTAGTGTGGAGTAGACACATAGTAAATTGGGTCAAATGTGAGGCCAAAAGAAAAAGGTACTAATGGCTCTTGAGCAGAATAGCGAATGGCTTTGGATCTTTCCTGGTCATCCAGAGCTTGCTAGAAAGGTTATGTTATGGGTAGGTAGGCACTTTATGAAATTGGAGGTAGAATTGCCTCTGAGGCCTGAAACTGCCAACACACTCAAATCTTACCTCTTACATCTAGGGTGATGTTAAGAAAGCTGAGTTATTAGTCAGCAGTGTGAGCAGTTAGTGAGGGAAAGCACCTTTGAGCTTTCTAGGTTTAAATTAATACTTTTATCGAGTAGCATTCTTTATCATCAAGAACCTTAGCTTTGAAATGTAACATAATTTTAAAAAATCATTTTATTGGAGGCTCATACAACTCTTATCACAACGAGTCGTAACATAATTTTGCAGAAAAATAATATATTAGTGTTTAATAACACGATAATCTTATTCTTAGTTCAGCTATTGATTTAAACTAGTTTTTATTAGCTATTGCTGATTAATTGTCTCTAACCATTGTTGAGCACTTGTAATGTGCCAAGCAGTAGTGCAAGTGCTTCACATACATATACTACATGAATTGCTTTTTCCAAAAAGTTTAGTGAAGGAGTTGTTACCTTTATTTTGTAGTATAAGAAAGAGTGATGGAGAGGTCAAGTAATTTGCCTATGGTCACACACCTTAAAAGGTAATTAATTAAATGGTGGAGCAGTGACTTAATTGTAGGCCCTGAGTTTAGAACTGACCTTCCTGTTAAAGTCTGAAGGATAAAAAGCTTAGTGTTATAGGCTTTCTTTCTTTCTTTTTAATAACTGCACCCTTGATCAGTTTTATGCCTTTCTGCCTGTAGTGCCTCAAAGAGTTTAAGATATTCTATAATATTGGATACTTTCACAGAAAGTTAGGAATAGGTACATTAGTTAGAAAAGGCTACCTTTTCCTATCACTTTATTTTTGGGAAAACTATTTTGGGACAAAACACACACACACATATATTTTTAAAGAAGATCATTTTATTGAGGGCTCTTACAGCTCTTATAACAATCCATACATCAATTGTATTAAGCATATTTGTGCAATATATTATGTTTGACAGAAAGCCCTTTTCTGTATTCTTTCAGATGAAGGAGCGAGCAATCCAAACTCTGGGCTATTTTCCAGTTGGGGATGGAGAGTTTCCTCATCAGAAACTCCTCTTGCAAGGCCTGATGGATTCTGTGGAGGTATTTATATTGCTGTCTGATTGCTAGTCCTTAAAACAAGGGGCATTTACATTGAAATTTTTTTGTTATTTCCAACTTTTTACTCATTTATTCACAAGTACTTATTGAATTGTCAGCCCTGGCCCGATCACTGTTCTAGGCATATCATTGGCTACATTATCTAGATGTGGAAGTCCTTTTCTTATAAATGTTGCGTTTCACATGTTGTGGTGTGGCATAGAAGGGGAAGCCTATTCTGTCAGCTAGGTGTAGGGAATGGTTGGCAGCTGGGGCTCCAGTGGCTCTCATGTTTGATGACATGTGGCTTTTGTCCTCTCGATGCCACATATGGTAGAGAAGACCTACAAAAGTAGGATACCATCTTAACGCAGCCTGAGCTGTCCCCTGCCTACTCTGGCTTTGATTCTTGTCACTCACAATTTTATGCACCAGCCACTTTGACCTGAGATTTTGAAAGCCCCTACTTCTTTTTCTCCGGTTGCTGCTGGGCTGTTTGCAAGCCTTTCCCCCACCTGCAGAGTAGGCTGGAGTCTTTATACTTGTGCTCTCCTGACTCCTGTACTTTTTCTGCACATCATTTATCACTGTTTCCCATGCCCACTGGACCCATGGCAGAGTCTTATAATACAGGTGTTCAACAAGTGTGCCTGGTAATGATCAGACGTCATAAGGATTAATATGCAGATGAGAGTGTAGAACCACAAAGGGAAGGGTGATGGATTTTGCCTCAGATTTGGTGCAGGTTCTTTGGAGACACTTGTGTTGGGTTTTGAACAATGGGAGAGAGAGGAGGCTGAGGGCTGAGGGATGGATCTGTGCTGCCAGCATTTTGGCCCTAAGTTCTTAATTCAATTATTTTTACAATGAAAATTTTTGATGTTGACTTAAACCTCCACCAGGCTACCACTCGATATCACTACATCTTTATCATTTGAGGAAAAGCTTATGAAGTCCACTTTTTAATCTCATAAAAAAACTCCTGAGAGTTTTCTTCTAGTTTTGTTTAAGTAAACAAACATTTGTCTGGATTCTTAACTTGTAATTGAAATAATTATCTTTAGCGTTTAGAAAGATCAGGTACATGAACAGCTAGAAACTGGGAAATAAGATGGAGCAATTATAGCTTAAAAGTGAAAAAGAAAATAAATAGCATGATTCAGAAAAACAAAGTATCTTAACAATCAACAAGGACAAAGTTTTACAGTATTGTTGTTGTTGTTGTTTCTGTCAACGTTTTTCATATGGAAAATGTCAAACATACTGGAATGTACAGTGAGTCATAATAGAATGCTCCCACGTGTCAGTTCCTATTTTTGCTTAGTGTGTTTTTCGGAGGATGAGGAGTACAGCACGGGCTTGGAAAACATATTCAAGCTATTATTACATTCCCTTCTCGGAACTCTACCCTCCTCTTGAGGGCCAACAAGTTAGCTGAACGCAAGCCAGAAAAAAAAAGAGAGAAAGTATTCTGATAAATTAGGCAGTCAGCAGCCGTGTGAAATGAGTGTTTTGTGGACATGTTTTTCTCATTCCTGCTGGTGCTTTTCTCTCATTGCAGGCCAAGCAGATAGAACTTCAGTTCACGATCGGGGAAGCCATCACCGGTGCGGCGATAGGAACTAGTTCTGTGGCTGCTCGCGACGCCTGGCTGGTGACTGAAGAAGAATACACTCCTCCCACTGGTACCGAACACTCAGCTTATCAATTTACAGTCATCAAAAGTAACCCTTGTCTGTTCCCTTGATCACATTGGAAGCACATACACATGTGCGCACACATGCTATTCTTCAAAGGTTTATGTCTGTCTGAGCAATGGTCACATTATTATTTCATGAGGAATGAGAAAAACATTTTCATGGTCACAAATGGCTGATTTTATTTCTAAATTAATTTAGCATATACTTAGTAAGAACTTATTACAGGTCAGGAATTGTTCTAAAAGTGCTGGTGATTGATAAAGGAATGACCAAACAGTAAAAAAATCCTACCCTTCATGGACCTTACATTCTAATGGGATACAGACCAGGGACAAAAGAAGCAGGGAGAAATAGGCAGCATCTAATGGATAATAAATGCTATGAATAAAAGTAAAGCAGGGAATGATATGGGTCGAATTTGGATGGTCATGATTAACAGTGCTTAGGGAAACTTCTCCAGAAGAGGATGCTAAAGGAAAGACCTGTTGTGGGTGTGGAGGCAGTGAGCTGGCAGGAATTCTTGGGGCGAGCACTCCAGATAGAGGTAGGCAGAAGCAGCAAGTGCAAACGCCCCGAGACAGGAGTTTGTTGGAGGGCAGCTTGCCGGGGGCAGAGTGAGTGAGTATGGGAGAAGTAAGATGAGATCATAATCTTGTGGAGGTTTTCTATAAAATGCAATGGCAAGATTGAAGAGAGAGGCGATCTGAATTCCATTTTGAAAGGGCCATTCTAGTGCCGTTTGGAAAATAAAAAGGCATGGAGCTAGGGCAGAAGCAAGGAGCTGAGTTAGGAGGCTGCCACCCTGCCCCAGGTGAGACATGATGGCGACTTGAACGTGATGACAGACAGCAGGAGGTGGTGCGAAGTGGTTGGTGAAAGTACTTTGAATGCATTACCCACAGGAGCTCCCATGACTGAACTGAATGGGAGATGTGACTTCAGAGTTTTTGTTGTGAGCAGCTGGAAGAATGGAGTGGCCATTGACTCAGCTGTGGGGGCAGATTATGGGCAATGTGGATTTGTGAAGGAGGAGCAGGGTGGGTGCAAGGCAAAAACTCCTTCACTGGCTGGCTGTCCTCGTGCACATCAGTGTTGAGACTTCTCACCACTCCCGTAACCGTAACTGATGTGGCCGGGACTGAGACCCTCATTTATATATCTAAGAGTCAGTTGCATATATGCTGGTGGTGTTCCAGAGAATTTTTGGGTGGAACCTAAATCTTTGGGAATGTTGCGTTAAAGATAGTATTGAACGCCATGAAATTAAGATGTGTCCATCAAGGAAGTGAGAGGTCCACCACTTGAGTCCTGGCAACTCCATTGTCGAGAGGTTTTGAAGATGAGGAGAAACCGAACGCGGACACCCAACGGGAGTAGTTAGAGGGGTGCAGCCGTCCCGCAGAGTTATCTCCTCGAGACCAAGGAGAGAAGAACCTTTATGAAGGGCAAGGGGTGCGAGTTGGGACCAACTGTGTCAAAAGCTCCTGACTGATCAATTAAGATGACTTCATACCATAATTGGTGACTTTATGGCTGATTCCCGTGGTGGTGTAGAGGTTTGAAGTGGGTTCAGGACAAAAATAAGAGCAAACATGTAGACTAAATATAGACAACAATTTTTAACAATCAATATAAAACTGGTTCTTAACTGGGGAGATTCCTCCTCTGGGACACTGGACACTATGGGAGTCTGGGGGGGGAGGGGGTTGGTTCTACGGGGGTCTTGTCTCTTCATGGGGACGAGGAATACCCCTAAGCATCCTGCACCCTGGAACAACTCCACAGCACTTCTTTAGCCAGAAATGTCCGTAGTGGTGCGGGCCAGGAAGTCTGAGGTAATAAAAGAAGAAAAAGGAGAGATTTATGGTAGCTAGAGGTGAAGAGTGAAGTCAGAAGAGGTTTATTGGTTTTGATTTGGCTGAGAGATGGAAAGAACTAGTAGAGAGAGGATTTGTTAAGACTGGCGTTAGTGCGGACAATTTTTCAGCGGAAATAAAGTTACCTGAATACCTATAAAGTTATTTCACTTTTGCAGGGCTCTGAAATGATTTATTCAGCAACTTGTTTAAAAGCTTAGTTGTTTAGATCTTGAGACCTACTTTGGTTTTAATATTATACAGATGTTGATTTGTATGTGGGGTGTGTATGTGTGTGTGTGTGTGGTGCTTGTGGTATGTGTCATGTGTAGGAGGCCTTGGCCTGTGTATGGGTATGTCTCCAAACCAGAGCCTCTCCTGTTTGTGAGTGTGTCCCAGATGTGTAGTCTCTGCTCTCCTGTCAGCGCTGATCCCTGTGAGTATGTGCATCTCAGATTGCACATTCTCTTAAGTAGTTGTTTTAATCTCCAGGGTAGAGGACTGAGTAAAGACTGCTTTACATTGAATTTTTTCAGGAAACTGCTTTGAATTATCTTAATTGTTTCTCATCTTTTCCCCAGGAGCCAAAGTGAATGATGTGGTCCCATGGGTGTTGGACATGATTTTAAATAAACATATCATCAGCCCCAACCCACATGTGAGGCAAGCAGCCTGCATCTGGCTACTTTCTCTTGTGAGAAAGCTGAGTTCCCATAAAGAAGTGAAGGTATGTATTTGTAATTGCACTGAGAAACACTTGTGTTGAAAGGCAGGAAGGAAAGCATAGGCAGTGAGAGCCAACACTGACCTGAGGGCCATTAACTAATACTGGACACTTTAGAATAAGCTGTGGACCAAGAAATGGATATGTATTGACTGGAAGATGGTTGTACAATTGAAAGAATGAAGTCAGAGGCTTAGTAAAGATTCAGAGGCTTAAAGAAAGGTCAGATTGCCTGATGTTAGGACCCCTTTTGGAGACCTTGTCCATTGAGAGCACCATGGTTTGTCACCACCTTGGATGGTGGCCTTCATAGTCATGTGTTCCCTGAACAAAACTCCCGTTCTTCCAGATAATTCGCATTTGAGTGCTAAAATGCTCTTTTCCTTCCTCTTTTCAGTCTCATCTCAAAGAGATTCAGAGTGCATTTGTTTCCGTTCTGTCAGAAAATGATGGTAGGTGGTTGGTAAATACTTGATTTCTAAACTTAAAATTAGTATTTAAAATTTTGAAAACCTCTGGGTTATTGAATATAAAAGAAAATTAGTTTTGAGTTATATGTTTAAAAGAAAATATATTTATTGGTATTAAGGATCATAGAAGCACAATAGTGGTTTTTAAACAAAGCATCTGGTTAGACTAGGGAGATTCATTTAATGCTCTTAGTTTTGAGTTAAAAAAGAAGCCAAAGCCTTTTTAAGAATTAGAACTACTAAGTCATTGCTTTCTTTTACTTGTGATTGCTTTTATTATTTGTGATTTAAGGCAGGAGAGAATGAATCTACCGTATATACTCGAGTATAAGCCCATCCGAAATTTTCAAACTACAACTTTCAAAATGTCCCTTTGAAAATTTGGGTCGTCATATACTCAAGTATATATGGTGTATGTTTTAGACATGTAAATGGTAGCTTTGTTGTAAGCATAATTGTTTATTTTCCTTTAATTTTTAGACAGTTTGATAATGGTGTGTTGAATTCTAATGAGGCTGTTTGAGTGCTCTGATACGTACAACTTAAAATCTGATATTTTCCCTATGCGCTGTAAATTAACTGTAGATGGTTTTCAGGTGTCTGTTGGATCTTCTGTGAATGTAGTTCTCACTTAAAATGACTTTTGGTGTCATGTCCTCTGAGGTGGTTTAATACTTAAAAAAAAACATTTTTAACAAAAATGGGTGGAATGATAGTTTCATATTATGGCTTTGATAACATTTTACATTATTAAATATATAGATTTTTAAGTGTTTGAAAAGCTTTGAATTATTGGTCAGTAGACAATGTTTCTTGGACTAACATCTTTTGTGCTTTGACTTTTTGGTAGAACTGAGCCAAGATGTTGCTTCAAAAGGCCTTGGGTTGGTTTATGAACTGGGCAGTGAACAAGATCAGCAGGAGTTAGTTTCTACACTTGTAGAAACACTTATGACTGGCAAAAGGTATGGTGGTGACCCTAACAATGTCTCCTTTTGAACACATAGGCCATGTGCATGCATATATTGAGAACATATTCTAAAGAAGGAAGATTCAGCTTTCTATTCTTTTAAGACATCTCTAAAGCGCAGGTCAGTGCTGCAGGTAACAATTTAATTGTGCAGCAGGTGCTCTTCACTTTAGAAACACCCCAGTAGTTAAAGAATTGAATTAGAAAAGTAGTAAAATGTGAAGAGCATGTGAGGAGTAATCATTCTTGTAGTCACTTGCGGCTTTGTGTTGCCGTCTCTTTAAAAAGGATAGTTTTGTGAATATTTAATTCAGTATAATTTATGGGGAATATCTTTTTGATCTATTAGCTTGTTTATTCTAGACCTAATTGAGCTGATTTTATTATTTTACACTCAGCTGGCATTGATAAACATTTTAATTTTGTCAGGTTGCAGGTGAATTGTATTGTTTAATTGAACATTAGTATGAAGAGGTTGAGGTTAATAGAAATTTCTTGTTTTTGTTTAGAGCTAAACATGATGTTTCTGGAGAGACAGTGGTATTTCAAGGGGGAACGCTTGGTAAAACACCAGATGGGTAAGCATGCCAAATCCATTGGTCATTTACTGTAGACAACTTAAAATGTTTTTCTTTGATTTTGATAAATGGGGTACCCATGACGTTGATTTTCATCTTCCTAGGAGAAGATGTGTGTTAGTGGAGCATACCTTCTATGGAAAAAGTCTATTATCTAAGATTATCTTTTTTGGGGGGGTGGGTGGGGGTGAGTTGGGAGAGACAGTTTTTGGCATGGAGATTGGTATCCTAGAAATTTATTGGGATGTGCCCTGAGGATCAGTACCCAAGGACAGGGGTAAAGGAAGCAAGACGGAGTCAGTGACCAAGAAAGAAACTTAGTTGTGATGCTGCCAACATTTTAATGCACACTCACCCTTTAAGAAACTCTGGGGCTGGATGGGGGAGGACAGGAGGCCAGATCTCCATGTCCCCTCACTGGCCGTTGACTCCCTCATTGACTAGCCAGCAGACTTTACAATGTGTAGTAGATTAATAAACATTGGCTGATAACAACAAGGTGAGTAGTTCAAAACCACCAGCTAGCTGCTTTTCTGGAGAGAGATGTGATAGTCCACTCCAGCGAACATTTATAGTCTCAGAAACTCTAAGGAACAATTCTCACCTGTCCTATAAAGTTCCTATGTGTTGGAATTTACTCCACAGCACTGGGTTTTTATTGATAAGCAACTGTTAATGAGCTGGTCTTGGGAGAGTATGACATGGGCTCAGAGCAGTCTGGCACATTGACTGGACTGAAGACTGTCAAGCCCACGACAGTTGAGTCTTGGATTGGGTATTTGATAACATAGCTTCTTCATTATCCACTGCGCTTAGTTTTTTTGTGGGGATTTTTGAGCATTTTGACTCCACCAGTTAGCATTTTGAATGAATGCCTTGGGCTTTGCCCCTGTTTTAATCCCATTCCACTGTGTTTGGCACAGTTGCTTTCCTTTTGAGCATCGTCGTCTTGGTCAGCCGTGCGGTTCTCACCCCGTGGCGGCACTCTGCTCAGAGCCCTGCTTGCAGCCAGCTTGTTTATCCTGTCTCTGAAGTTGTCTGCTCACTCTGCTGTCACATCGCACGTTTCCATTCGTCTTCCTTTCCCTGCAGGTTTCTTTTAGGCTTGTCGTGAATATTTAATCTGTCTATAGCTATATTCCTGAAAGTAATGGTTTCTGTTCTAACTGAAAACATTTTACTAACCCTCTAAAGTTAGTGAGTTTTTGCCACTTGTATTTTTTTATGTGTTTTTAAAAATTGAGAGTTAATACATACATCATTCCACAGTGCAGTCACATCAAGCAGCATTATACAATAGCTACGACAATCAGTTGCTAAACACCCTTTTCCTTCTTGGGCTCCTTGACTTGTTTCCCCTGGACCCCCACCCCCACCATTTTACACTTGCCCCTCCTTATAGTTCATCAGCCCTGGGTTTCATATACTGAAAACCGGAAAAACATAGAACACAACTTCAAGAGGGTGACTCCCAATGACATCACACTTCTGAGCTACACCCTAATATGAGCAAACGAAAAACAAAACAAACCAAAAATACAGAAAATGTTGAAAACCACATCAGGTCCAGTGTGCATCCAAAGGGGGGAGTGGTGGGGGGAGCCAACTTGAATTTTTTGACATCTTTTTGTCCATAGTTGAGTTTTGTTTAATGTTGATTAAATAATGTGATACTAGAAAATTAGTGAAAATGAAATTTTACAAATCATCCTTGTTAATATTGGTGATATTGGTAATTTGTATTAACCTGCAGATAGAGAAATACATTATTCCATACTTTTTATTCCCCTCCAAGCCAGGGCATTTCTACGTACAAGGAGCTTTGTTCTCTGGCAAGTGATCTCAGTCAGCCAGATCTGGTGTACAAATTTATGAATTTAGCCAATCATCATGCAATGTGGAACTCTAGGAAGGTAAGTTACTCTCACTGGACAGATGTCATATTTACTTTCTCCCCAAACTGTACCTACTGTATTGGTACCCGTATCTGTTCATATACAGAGGTTTTACATATCTGTGCCTGGTTCAAGAGAGCCAGACCGGCAGACAGCTAGGGCGCACCTGCTGCCCACTAAGCATGCTCCATTCAGGGACAAGACTCGGGGGGAGCATTTTGTGATCCTCATACATTCGTATGTTAGTATTCCTTGGGCAGGTGTTTCATGGTCACTTCATCTTATTATTTTAGGGTGCTGCTTTTGGTTTTAATGTCATTGCTACCAGAGCTGGAGAGCAGCTGGCTCCCTTTCTGCCTCAACTAGTTCCTCGCCTTTATCGTTACCAGTTTGATCCCAACCTTGGTATTCGACAGGCCATGACAAGCATTTGGAATGCGCTAGTCACTGACAAGTCAACGGCAAGTATTTGTGACCCTGTGTGTTTTGAGGAGGCAGCCTCAGTGGTGCAGAAAGTTAATGTGCATGGCAGCTAACCAAAAGGCTGGCCATTCTCGTGTACCTCAAGGAACGTCAGAGGAAAACCCTGTGCTTAGTTTTTTAAATAAGCCATTGAAAACCCTATGGAGTTCAGTTCTATTCTGACACATGTGAGCTTGTCAAGAATCAGAACAAATTTGATAACACCTGGTTTTGTATACTAAGAAAACACTGTCCCAGAGGCAGGGATATATGAGTACTTGCTCCTCCGTGTACAGGAGGGCTTCACAAAAGATGACAGAAACATTCCCGTATCTTTCAGTTCCATTTTTGTATGAATTTTTTGAAGTTCCCTTATACAACTGTATGGTATTTATGTGTATATACATGTCTGTGTGTGTTCCTGATATACTCATATATAATAAAGTACATACATAGGAAGCAGAGTTACAGAGACCTCTTCCCTATATCCAAACATCTCATGGGATTGCTTTAACGAGGCTAAGACTATAATTTCATGGGACAGCTTCACCAGTTGGCATAACATAATTCATGAAGATGTTCTGCATCCTGGTTTAGTGAGTGTCTTCTGGGTCTTAACAAGCTTATGAGTGGTCATCTAAGATACAAATACTGGTGCCTCTTTGTCTGGCACAAAAGAGGATGAAGGAAAACAAAACTCAAAGGGAAAAATCTTATTTCATAGAACTAATAACATATGATAAACCCGTAGCTTTACTACCGTGAGACTGGAAGGACTAGCTGTGAGCTGAGGAGCTTACAGAGACAGGAAATGTGGTCCATGTGGTTGCTAGGTAAGTGATTTGACTGTTGGTGGATTTTGCATTTTTAATTTTATCTTTCATTTTCGTTAGGTGGATAAATACTTGAAGGAAATTCTTCAAGATTTGATTAAGAATCTTACCAGCAATATGTGGCGGGTTCGAGAATCCAGGTACTGTCTTTGGAACTATAACTAAAACTAGTCAAATGTAGTGGCCTCCCCTTCCCCTCCCCGTTTTCCAGTTTTCACTTTGTGCAAAAGAATAAATAAAATTACTAAGAAATTTATTTCTGGGTGGGATGACAGTTATCTTTATTAACTCTGTAAACACAGGCTACTATTTTTCTTAGGTTGTCTTAATTTGTGTAATAATGACATAAAGGTAGGCATCAAGATATGTTACTATACTTTTAGGACATTGGAGGGCAACAGTGAATAATATATACAATTTATTCAGTGTGTACTAAGTGCTTAGCAGTGTGCTGAACCCTAGGGGCACAATTGCATAAGAAAAAAAAATGATGCTGCATCTCAATGGGATCATATTGTAGTTATGGGGAACATGTTTGATGAATTTCCAGGCCATCAGTATGTGGGATATTTGAGGTACCAAGGAAAGCGTTGTCAGTGCTATCTCTGAAAGGTTGGGGCTTTGAATCTAAGTAGGGCCTATAGTTGTGTTTGTTACGCATGTTTCATGGTAAAATACTGTGCTTTCTTGATCAGGTATTTGACACTAAATTGTTTATTTTCAGTTGTTTGGCTTTGAATGATTTATTGAGGGGAAGACCCCCAGATGACATCATTGATAAACTTCCAGAAATCTGGGAAACGCTTTTTAGAGTACAAGATGATATCAAGGTATTAGAGAAATAGATTTGTATTTATTTTGTGGACTACCTTAAACTTGAATTCTTAAAAGATATGTGGTACATAGTTAAAAAATCAAGATGTAGGCAATTTTAAGGGACTGTAGTTTTCATTTTTAATCTTGATGTCCCTGTGAATTTTCAAGGTTAAGCATCTTTAGATCTAAATTGAATTGCTTTTAAAAACATAGATGGCTGCAAGCTTTCATTCAAGGTCATGACACTGTTAAGTATGGGCAAATAATATTATGAAATAATCTGGGGTAACTTTACTTTGATAATTTTCACAAATTAGACTAGTCATTACCAAATAGCATGACCATTCTCTTTAAATTTTAGGTATTTTTGTATTTTATTAAAAGTAGGCATTTTTATTTTGCTCTATTCATTAGAAATTTAAAGCTTTTTATATATTTGCTTTTATAATATCTATAGGTTCTGTACTATTATCCTTTATAGCCATGTTTTTGCAAGGTCAAAATACCTAATTTTAAAAAAGAAGAAAAAAATCTGGTATTATAATACATTTCTTGATGGCAAGGAGCTTCATGAAACACCGTATTTTACCTGATTTTGAAAGTTCGATGTTGACCAAGTGGTGTAAGAGTATGAGGCCGTTAAATGTGCTTTGTGGGATAGATGAGAATGATGTCATGTTTGTCTCATTTCTAGGAATCTGTACGAAAAGCAGCAGAACTGGCTCTGAAAACCTTGAGCAAGGTGAGAATTCTGATCCCACCTTGGGAGTGTGGGAGGGGTTTGTTTTTTATCATATGACAGTCACAGTGTCATTGGTTTCATGTCACAGTTCACTGTGAGAAAGTACATGCTATTACGATACTAGCATTTTTAACAAACAAGCCCCCTAGTCTTTTAACTTGTCTCAAGGAAGTAAGCTTCTCTGGGTCTTTATGTGCTATGACTTGTGCTTGACCTTGAAGGACCCATTACTCCCTGAGATCAAACAGCATCTATTTTGTTCTTATTCTTTTGGTACATCTGTTAAACTGCTGTCCATTTATTTATGCGGTTGGCAAGTTTTTTGAAACAAACTAGTGTCCACTTGAACTTGATTTTACTGTGATGCACCAGCTGCTTTTTCATAGGTGGGCAAGCTTCCCATAAGTAAAATGGTTAGTAGTAAGGCCAAGTTTTAAATCCAGGTGTTTCTGACACAGTGCTGACACCCCAAACTTTTGATACATTAAGCTGTCTCCAAAATGCTTTCTTGTTATCTTCAACCAATTTGTTCTTTAATTTGCCAATTAGATGATGAAAATTGTAACAAGGTTCCTATTTATTATTGGCCAACCAAGGGTAAAAATCCCAGAACTCATTTTCCTGTGTTCCCTAATAATATCATAGAAAGTAGAACCACTTTTTATTTTCTGTGGATGTGAAAAGTAGACAGTATTAGTGAAAGAAATACTTTGTTGAGTGAAAGGTCACTTTCATTAATCTTGCTCTTTGTATCTGAGGTTTGTGTGAAAATGTGTGACCCTGCCAAAGGAGCAGCTGGCCAGAGAACTGTCGCTGTCCTTCTGCCTTGCCTCCTGGACAAAGGAATGATGAGCCCTGTGACCGAAGTTCGAGCCCTCAGGTGGATATCAGTTGATGAAATGCATAGATTGGGTTTGCTTACTTCCTTATCATTCGGGGAAAGTTGGGTTTCTTTCTTTCTTTCTTTTTTTCCCACAGTCTCTTTTGCTTTATAGGTTAATTATGCAAATATAGGGAGAATCAAAAAACAAACCCCAAAGAGCATGACCGGGTAGCTGTCAAAAGTTGGGTTTCTTTGAGTGTTAGATTTTTGGCAATGTGAAAAAATGGGTTGAAGAGGGGTCACTAAGGAATCCACGTGCATTTATGAAGGGCTGTGAGTCAGTCTTTTGCAGAAACATTCTCCTGGGAGCCTTGCCTTCCAGCAGCATTTCCCAGTCTGCTTTGACCTTGCTTCCAGTGTGTCCTTTTGTTACCATTGTCCTCGGCCCCCAGCAGGCACATCTTCTGTGGTGCTACAGGTCTTCCAAGCCTGCTTAATAGCAGTTCACAGACTACCGGCTGCAGCACTGGAGTATTTAAGAAATCCACATACATTTGTGGTTATTTTTTCCAGTAAAGAATTATAGCCTGTATCTGTGTTTGTTTTCGGACTAGGGTATTATCTAGGAACTTTATCTGTTCCATTATGATGTAAATTTTAAAGCTAGATCACATTAAAAGTACTAAGAGCATTTCATGATAGCTAAGTTGTTGGTGATGGAATGCTTTATTTTGTTTGTTTTTTAAGAAGAACTCATCTAATAATGCACAAGAATGATGAAGTTGGGATATTGTTATTATACTATTTTAACTAGAACAAGCCTGGTAACAGTCATCTGTGACTCTTAAATCCACGGGATGAAACGTGGGGAACTTCACAATGGACCTTACACACCAAGAACCCTCGAGCCCTTTGATCACGTAAAAAGGGAGTCAAGCGTTGAGGGCATACTGATATGATGGCATAGTCCACACAGAGCACCATCTCTTTTTGTTTTAAAAAAGTTGAACTTGAGGCCAGCCAAGCCTGCATATCTACACAGGGGACCAAGGAACATGTTAAATAAGTGATATCATTGGAATGTACTCAATAAAAGACAGTTAAATGAAAAGAGAGCAAATAGGAGACTGATACAGAATGAAAAGAGTTAAAGCAGTAAACAGTAATTCTAATCCAAACCATTTGACTCTTTTTTTCCCTGTTTGACTCATAAAGACACTTATGAAATCATAAATTTGAGAATTAGATGATAGGAAATATCATTAACCTTTTTTAGTGTGAAATGTACTTTTATGAAAAATTCTTAGCTCTTAGGGATGCCTTCTGAAGTTTTGTTATAGGATATAGTTTCAAATAATGTGATGGCAGGGAAAGTTGTATGCTTGTGCACCAATAGAGGAGTTACCAAAAACAACTAGAACAAAAATGCCCACTAGTGTTGAGTCAGCTCTCATTCACAGAGTGGAATTTTGCTCTGTAAGATTTCTAGGTTTACAAATCTTCATGGAAGGTGACTACCACATCTTTCTCCCACAGAGAAAGGTAGTGCGTTCAAAACACCCAACTTTTTGGTGGTAGACATTTGCTTTAACCACTGTGCCACCAGAGGAGTTATAGTGGAACAGACTTGTTCAAATTTCCTGAGTGAACTGGCTGGACCCCAAACCAAAATCATTGCCATCAAGTCAATTCCAACTTATAGTGACCATATACAATAGAGAACTGCTCCTTAGAGTTACTGAGACTGTAAATCTTTGTGGAAACACAAAGGCTCTTTCTACCTCAGAGCAGCTCTTGGGTTCGAACTGCTAGCCTCATGCTTAGCAGCCCAGTGCATAACTCACTACTCTGCCAGGGATCCTTTTACTTGGTTGGGAGGTATATCAACACTTATTTATGATTCTCTGCTTTCACATACTTTTCATATGCTTGCAATTTTTCTGTAAAGTTTGAAAACAAAGTGCCATGATCAGGCTTTGTAACCATATCCCTGAATGTGAGAAACGGCAAAACATCCTCATGAGTGAACTTGGGAAGCTTCCTATTAAAAAAAAAAAAGTACTCAGGAGTTGTTTTCTGTGTGTCTACAGCATTAACACCCTTGTGAAGATCAGCAAAAGTGCAGGAGCCATGTTGAAACCTCACGCATCAAAACTCATCCCAGCTCTGTTGGAAGCCCTGAGTGTACTGGAGCCCCAAGTTCTCAATTACTTAAGTCTTCGGGCTACAGACCAAGAGAAGGTAAGTTGATGATCTATGTATAGTAGTACTGTTAAGGCAGAGTGTAGCTAAAATATTGATGGTCCTTTGAGCATCTTCTGTAGTCTGTTTAGAAAGTTGATTAGCACAAATGCTAATCAACACAGCCTCAGGGAAGTAGTTTTTATATACCTGACTTTTCTCATTTGTGATGTGTGGACAGTGTTAGCATCTCATACAAAGTAGTTGTAAGACTAAGATACCATTAAATATAGGAAATCCTTTCAAAAAACTTGAAAGCACTAAATGCATAATACTTAGATACAATTTTTAAAGTTCGTACCTATTAAACCCACTACCATCAAACTGATTCTGACTCCTAGTGACCTTAGACCAACCTCTAAGACCAAACTGACTCCTGAGAGTTTAGAATTTGTAATTATTATGGGAGCAGACAGCCTTGTATTTTTCCCATGGAGTTGCTACTGGGTTTGAACTGCTGACCGTGTGGCTAGCAGCCCAACATTTAACCCACTGCCCACCAGTGTGCCTTTTCAAGGATAGATAGAAGTCTATTTAGTGTATTCTTCTGTTTAATGGATGGAGAGCTGGTGTCCCTACGGACTGGATAATTTACCCAAAGCCATACTATCCTAGTTTTTAACTGCAATTACTTTCTAAGTATCATCTAAATGTTTTACCTACTGTGAAATACTACCTCTCCTGATAAAATTGTTGAGGGACGTCAAAAGAAATTAGATCTTCACTTAGATTTGACTTTGTTATGTCTCCAAAGAAAAATTTGTTTCCAGTTTAGAAGGAAAGTGCTTTATGGAAGTGGATGTGGGGCATTGTCCCTAGTTAAGTGAGAGCCTTGAGTGACTTGAGTTTGTGCTCTCCAGGCTGCAATGGATAGTGCTCGGCTCAGTGCTGCCAAGTCTTCTCCCATGATGGAAACCATCAACATGGTGAGTGTCTGAACAACACGGTGAAGTTGCTTTGTGTATCCTAACGTGTACTTCCGCAAAGCCTCAGGTCAGAGTACTGACGTAGAGATTTCAGGAAGGAATCAAGTAACCACTGAAACCTCAATTTTTATAAAATATGATTTTTTTATTCTTATTTCACATTACTAAGTGGAATAAATTGATTTCCAAATACTAAAATCAATTAGTTCAGGTGTGTGTTACCAAGAAAGATCAGTTATTAATTGATCACTCTGCACGCCTATATCTGCATCTATATATTGTCTGCCTACTGGGAGAGGCTGGGGCGTCTTCCTCTGCTCGAGAGTTCTCCCCAGGTAGAACCAGGGATGTGGGAGTTGGTCTGGAAGTGTGCAGTGAGGCAGGCGGTGTGACAGGGAGGTGATGCGGACTGGACACTACTGATAAGTTGTTTCAGTCATAGAAAGGAATGTGCAGTGAAGGGCTGCTTTCCCTTAAGGTTCTAATTTCTAAAGGGTTTGGAACCCTGTTTAGGAGTCTTTAAAGCAGACCCTCGGTTCATGGTTAACGGAGACCTGAGTATCTGGAAATTGTTTTCCTAAGCATATCATGTAGGGCTGGACACATGAAGTAGATACTTATGAGAACTTACTGGATGGGTGTTGCTAAATTTGCTTATATTATGGAGATGATAAACCTTCCATAGGAAGTTAGAGAATAATAGTTGGAGTTTTGTTCATTAATAGAATACATGCTACTGAATTTTCAAAGCTGGAGTCAGCAATACTGTAGGGTAATTCAACTAAGAAGTTGGCATTTCTGTCGGGATAGAACAGGCTGGATGAACAATCTGGAGGAGAAAACAACGGGACTGACAGTTC